ACAGCAGGGGGAGGGGCAGAGGGAGAGGGAGAAGCAGACTCCCCGCTGAGCAGGGAGCCCGATGCGGGACTCGATCCCCGGACTCCAGGATCATGACCCGAGCCGCAGGCAGTTGCTTAACCAACTGAGCCACCCAGGCGCCCAGAATCTGCCTTTCTACTGCACCTTACTACATGGAGTCACTCCATTCCCTTCTTAGGTACTCCTTTTATCCCATAGCCGATGAAGCTATACTTCGCTGATGGGGTAGAGACTAGATTGCCAGTAGTTTCCAGATAAGAAATAAGTCTGCCTTTAACTTTCTGCCTCTAGAACATGGTAGCTGAGTTCACTTATCCTCTTGACCATCCCAACCTCTGGGGTTTGCAGGTGAGCTGCGGTCTCTACGAGAGGAGATTTCCCTGTTGGAGCGAGAGAAAGAAAGGGAACTTAAGGAAATAGAACAGGAGTTGCACTTGGCCCAGACTGAGATCCAGAATCTGCGGCAAGCAGCAGAGGACTCCGCGACTGAGCATGAGAGTGACATAGCATCCCTGCAGGACGATCTCTGCCGGATGCAGAATGAGCTTGACGACATGGAGCGCATCCGGGGAGAGTATGAAATGGAGATCACTTCCCTCCGTGCAGAAATGGAAATGAAGAGCTCTGATCCATCCAATAGTTTAAATCTTTCAGATTACTCTGAGATGCAAGGTACGAGAGGGCAAGCCTTTTTCCTGGTCTGTCAGTAAAGCCAAGCAGAGGGAGTTAGTATCCAAAAAGATGGTGGAAGATGGTCTTAGATCATGAACTGGGAACCTCTAGAAAAAACCTCCAGGTTGAATTCAAGACTAGAAGGGAGAAAAACTTATCCAGATGTCACATAACCGGTCAGTGGTGGTATAAGAAATAGCACTGTGGAGATGTACCTTGAGAATTCTTCCTCAGAGAGCCATATGGGAGAGCCCTTCCTAAGAAAGTCTCCAGTGCCAGGATGGGAGGACAAGGGGCTGGTCACCTTGGGAAACTACCTGCTGCTCTGGCATGGCAGTTTGCCTGGCCCGCATTATGGGGGGGCCTCTAGTCCTGCTCCCAGGTCCCAGGATGCTAATGCTTAGGCTCCTTGAGTCCTCTCCAGCGTAGAAGCTTTAGGGTGCAACAAATCAGAGCACAAGACAGCTGGAGAGGAAGAGAGGTTATTTCCAGTAATACATGAGGTACTAAAAAGCTTAGAGCTCTGCTTTCAGACAATGAGTCTCCCAGCTAGTTGCTAGGATTCATGACATCAGAGAGTATGCCTTTATTTTGAGGCTAGATTTATGATCTGGGTATAATGGGAGGCCCTGTATTAGGCCAGGTCAAGCAGAGGCAATCAACAAGGAATCAAAGAACTGCAAGTTGCCCAACTGTAACAAGCTTCTCAGAAGAGCCTTTGGACTGGTGGTGCCAGGAGAGCGAGGCCAGCACAGTGGGAGAGCTTGGGTCGAAGTTAAACAGACCTGAGTTCAGAATCTCAGTTCTGCTAATTAGTGGGATGAACTTGGCCTGGTTATTATCTCTCTGAACCTTAGTTTCTGTATCTGTAAAAATTGGTTAATAAAACTTTACA